TGGTCTGTTGATGCTTACATGCACACACAGAATCGGCCAACTGTATTCACATTCCCTTTTGTTCTGTTCGGTGTTCTAATTACGCGGATGACGTCCGTCCGTCTGTCTGTATGGAGGACGTGCAAAGTGCACTTGACCGACTAACAAATGCTGCCACAGCATTCCGTATGCGCTTTGCACCTTGGAAGTGCAAATTTACGATTCAAGACTGAGTATCCACTAGCCCCGCTTTGAAACTAAATGACCAAGAATCACTTATTAATGGATTATTTTTCCTACTTATGCATGTCAATGACCACTGACGGTAGCACAACAAAGGAGATAACCGCGAGCACTTCCAAGGTTCGAGCAGGTTATGTAAGACTGAAATACCTTTGGTGTAGACGTGACGTTTCAGTGAGGTTGAAAGGTCGTGTATAATGTGCCACGGTTCGTTCATGTCTGCTTCGTGATTGCGAACCCTTGAATTTGCGAGTAAAAGACACGCATTGACTAGGAATTTCCGACCTAGCTTGGCGCTTGGCGGCTAATTAACCTCGAGGTGAACCATCGTGTGTTTTGGGAGTTTATTCGGCATAAATTTGCTGGCGTGTCGAATTTAGATTGGTTGGCATGGCTGGAGAAATGCACAGAGCAGCTGTCTCACTTTCCTTGTTGGGGTCCGAAAGACTCTGCGACTGGTTGGTTGGAGACATTGAAGGATATGGCAGCGAGCCGACAGCCGTGGCGTCCTTATTGTCATTTCTTATCAGGCCAGAATGCTTGAAGCGGTGTGTGCACATTCATATTGCTTGCACATGCGGCAGACAATCGACGGAGTTTGTTGTCCGCGATAAGTTTAGAGGCAATGTTGATTAAACTAATTCCTCTGTGGTTTTCACAAGAGGATAACTTTCTGTCTAGCCACGCTTGCAGAATTTTGACTAGGATAATGTGTGTGTGACGACCGATGAGTTGTCTGACTGCATCGCTGAACGTAATGAATTGCAATACCATACATTTATTCGAGCAATTTATTAACGACTATTGACCAACGCGTCACATTGGTCGGTTGAATTGGACGGTTTCAACTGGGTTCACCTGTCACAATTGCGAGTGTCCCGGTCATTGTCGGTCGCTGCCCCTTTACTTTGGGTGTTAGTGGTAGGCTAATTAAAGTCTATGATCAGTGGTGCTGTGTGCTACTGACTTCGGATAGAAGAAAGCTGTTCAGCTGTGTTCATTGCTTCGCTGACTCTATGGTCCCGTACGCTCAGTCGCCATGTCTGAGCTCATGACCGGTTGCCGTCTGGTCAGCAAGATTCACCCAGCAAAAGCCTCTCACGTATCTTCAGAATGTATCGTGATAAGCGCGAGTCTGATCCGCCACTGAATTAGGGCATTATCCACCGTTTAGAGATGCCTCATAGAAAAATCCTGGTGGTACTTCTGAAATCACTTTGTATTATACTCTCAGAAGTATTTACGGTTCCCGCGTAGGGTTCCTATTTCGAGGACCAGCTACTCCTGTCAACTCGTGCCCCGATAGGCCAGCTAAGTTCAAATCGATTTACTGTTTTTTTTTCTTCTAATCATGTTAGCGCATGTACGCTGTAGGTGACCCTTGGTATATCCGACTAGTAAGCGGTGGCAATTAACAGAAGGCATATAGTTGTACTCCACAAATGACGGTGCGTGAGAGAGAGAGCACAAGAGGAGGAGTGAAATAAATAGCAGTCTCGGTTTGTATAGGCTGCTGTCACCAGCATCCGGATCCGACAGGGCATGGTGTGTTTATAGCATCCCTTGAACCATCTCCGTCGACCGGTGTGATATCACACCTCTAACACCGGTTTAATTATTTTTTTTTGATTTACCACTTTAGATACGGAAGTATTCCGCATACATAGGTGTTCGTGCCTGTGGAGTTGATATATTTTTTTTTGTANTGTATCAAATGTTGCATGTGGTGACCGTCGACTGTGTAGCTCAGTGCCAAGAGTTTTGGACTTCCAACCAAGATGGTCGCTGTTCGATTCCCACCAAGGACAAAGAATGGTACACCTTTCTGTCGAGCCCCAAGCTACTGTTCTGGTGCCCTTTATTCGGTCTTCACACAATAGTTTTTTGGTTTGTAACAGTCAATGCGTATGTCCGTTATTCAAGTTGAGCATTCATTTTCGAGGGGAGTGGGGGGAGGGGATAATGTGTTGTCCTCGTTAGAATCTTGATTAGATACGTTTTTCTAAAAAAGTGCACAATGTGAAGTTGTTCGACAATCTCAGGAGTCAGATGCGAAGATCAACCAAGCCTGGTACGTATACGGCAAGTTAGCCCGTAATCGGCATGGAAGTTCTGGCTTGGTGGGAGGCTTTCGATTGGAGTTGACAGGTTGTCATCTGTTTCTCCGTTCGCTGCTGTCGGGCCAAATAAACTGACTGAGTATCACTGAAGACAACACCTAAACAAACATGAAGTGTCAATTTGATTCTGCCATGGTATGAGCTGGTTGGCATAGTGGTAACGCACACGCCTTCCGTGCGATGGGTCCGGAGTTCAAATCTCTGACGGGACGGTGGATATGCCCTCCTGATGAGCTCTAATAAGGGCGAAACCTTAGTCTAATGCTTCCGAGTGTATGGTTGACTGGATAAACTGAGGATTGTGCGTGAAAGGGAAGTCCGAAGGATGGTCAGTCAAATCAATCACAATCTGAGGAGAATCCGAATTATTTAAAGCGAAGTGCATTTAAAACAAAACTTGCTACACTTCCGAACCTGTAATGCATTAGAAATTCGTAGCGAAATGTGAAATTAACACTCGATGCTTTTTGATACAAGAGAGTTTGCAAGCTTGTAGTGACCTCGGTCTTAAATGTAAACACACACCTGGTGAAGTGCTCATACAATGACTGATCGGTATCACTCACAATATTTCAAGTGCCCAGTGATGGATACTTAAACTTACGGAATCTGATTAACGCTTCGTATAATCTAAAGGGAACAATATTAAACATAATGGTTTTGCTCTCGGAGTCCTGAAAATTGCGATACAACGTTAAAGCCCAAATCACATACAGAAGTTTCTATTAGGTACGTGTAGGGACCAAGTGGTCTTGTGATGTCATGGTATAGTGCATTCATTGACTGTTCAACTAGTCGCCCGGTCATCAGTGTACAGCTGGGAACAATTTGCTTCCGTCAAGTTTAGGCCAGGTTCTTTGTTGGGTCATATTAATGTATCATCACATTTAAACAGATTGATAGGTACGCTTTAACCAGCATGCCAATAGGGAATCAGAGATAAAGATACTTGGATTTCCGAAACACATTGGGTAGGTGATCTGAATGTGAAAAGATTAGTGCTGTTAATTTAGTTCGGTTTGGTGTCTACAGACAATAACTATGCACCTTAGTGTGGTATTTTTGGAAATGTCTTAAGGTCGCTTATGTGGATAAAAGAGCACGAGCAAGATTGAATCGTTCAGAGCAGAGTCAGAGAGAAAACGGATAAGGTTACCAGAATAATGAGTAGTTGCACGAGCACCACTGTTGTTGATACTCAACCATATCACTCTGTTCCGCCAGTGTTGCCTCGTAGCTCATCTGGTGTGGTTTGCACTGCGCAAAGGAATAGGCGGCGGCCATGCCTGGGTCCGAATCTCATCGAGGCTACTGAACTTTTCCACGGTTTAAAACATAAATCTGTTAAACAACATAATTCCATTTGTAAATTCATCAGTTTATCTGTTCGCACAATAATAACCAGGTTTTATGTCTTTCTCTGCGCTCCTACCTCTGCATGTTCTATCCGCGTTTCTCGTTCCCCTGTGCGATCAAAGTGACGTGGACAATACCCTGGGAGAATTGACCGATGAAGTTGCCATACGGTTGCAACACGTCTCAGTCGGTTTGCCTACCAATCCGGAACACTTGTTGCTTTACGGTGAGTGCATACAGTTTGTTTGTTTTTCTGTTTTGAGCGATACAAACTGCTTTTTAGTTAATTAGGTATCATTGGTCAAACTGTAAACTAACAAACGTGCTTTTCCCGTAAGTGAATTCTCTTTTTTTCACATCTGAACTATCAACCTCCATCTCGACTGGGCAAATACTCTCAGTTGATGCCAGTCCCCCATCTGAAATAGGGGTTTCCCGGGAAATAAGCTACCTCAAAAGGCATAAGGCCTCCGGCCCATACGGGCTGTCCCCATCGGCTTTCAAGAATGAAGACTCAGCCCTGGTTTCGGAGTTAACAAAACTCCTGGGTTCAGTGTGGGAGAGAGAACAGATTCTAACTGAATGGTGTGAGTTGGCGATCATACCGATTTACAAGAAAGGTGACAGATCCTCTTGGGAAAACGACAGAGAAGTTGATTCAATGAACATCGTCTCTAAACTTCTCGCTGGTATTATACCTCGGCGACTGTCTGCCGCACGTGAACGGTACACGTGTGAGAACCAGGCTGGGTTTAGACCCGGCCGAGGTTGTCATGGACGCAATCTGATTGCGCCGTTCTCGTAGGTGCGATTTGTTCTGTATATTTGCATATCGATATCTAATCGAAAAAGAATACTCGCTGATTTTTGTCTTCAGCTGTGTTCTCTCTCCGGGTTAGGTAAGAGTCACACGTGTCATTCGTAACTCTAGGCCAAACATAACATCTCCCCCCTTCCATTCACCCATTTTTGTGTGCACTGTTGTCGCATTGATACCCATGTTTGTGGCCAAATGTCGACATTTCGGTTTACGATTACCTTCACATTCTACTCCAATCGGATCGCGCGTTTCAGGTGTTTCTGTGTCTGTGACAAGGCAGACGATCAGGTGATGAAATCCCCAGCGGCTACGTTGCACGGGTAAAAAAATGTAAACTGATCACTGGTGAATGACCTCACTAAACTGTGGTACAGTGAGCTTCCTCCTCAAAGCTGTGTTCGTGGTTGTCATTGTATATTTATCAAATTGAGAGAGAGTGACTTACGTGCGCACATGCCTACAATGATGTCCGCAAATATTTCTCAATTACAGCACTACTGACTATCGGAATAGTTGTAATGTGGTACGATTCACCGGAATGCAAGCTACACGAGCCTGGTTGCCCCGAATTCATTCTTACACACATTTCACCGCATGTGTTATCTCGGCTTGGTTCAGTCTTATTTTGCCTGGAGTTCAAGACTCGTTGTTTCCTCTCTTTTTTCTGTCCGGTCTGCTTGCATTCATTTCTGAGTTGTAATCGTCTTGCTTTCTCATCCGCACTAGCATCCTCACATTTGTTACACTTTGATTCAGGGGCGGTTTGGATCAAGTATTTCTGGAATAGTCACCAATGACCGTTGATTGATTGTTAATCTACCGGCACATTTTTTATTGTGCATGAAAATGAGACAAATTTTGGCTTCAGTCCATGATGGGCACGGCGCAGTTCCTGTCTCTTCGATTTGCTTTTGTCGACTGGAGATGATGGTTAAGCAGAGGAACAGTGAATGAGTTCGGGAACTTTGATAAGCTTCGCAAAAAGCGATAGGACCCAATCAGTGCGAGGCGGTGTTTCACTTAGTTCCGAATAATCATAATGAACTATCCGTCGTTGAAATCTGATTTATTCAGTTGCCTCTGAGTCTCAATGACCATGGGATTGGTTTTTTCGTAATATCAATGATTGAAATGGACAGCGTATGAGAGTGCATCTGAATCTTAGCCAATCTATTCTTTTTCAACGGTAGTGATCAATTTTTGTAGGATAATTTCATCGTCGCACCGATCTACAGGGTCCTAGGTTCGAATCTCATCACCATGGCTCCATTCTGACCATAACCATAGCATCAATCTTTAGCGTCGTTGTTGTTTTGACGATGTAGTCTACACTGTCGGCCTAGCATGTGTCATTCAGTAATGTTTAGAAGACGAATGCTTGGTCTTTTTGTGTGTTGAGCCTTCGTTTTTATTATCCATAGATACCTTATACCTCACCCTTGCTTCTACTGCTCTGGACAGTCTGCACAACATTGCCAAGCACTTCATTTTCCGATGTGTCATTGTGCTGGCTCGTGCATGCTCCTGTACACACGCTCAAAGTTTAATTGCAGCCAATGCATCTTTTCATCGGATTGCACATATTCATTTCAGATTATTCTCGCTCACTCACTCACCGCTCTCCATTCTCGTTGGCTATTCTTTTTATTCCTTCTTATTTCCCCTCTCTGTCGTTTAGATCTCAGTATTGATATCACAGTAACCGAACCTCTTGTGATCACCGGACCGAGTGGTGTGGGCAAGACCGCTCTGTTGCGTGTATTGGCAGACCTGTGGCCCGGGCTGGCCACTCCAGATCAGTCGGCCTACTTCTACCGGGCTTCACACATCCAAACCATGTTTGTGCCTCAGAAACCGTTTGTGCCATGTGCATTCGCTTGTCCGAGTCGACTGTTCAATGTGCTCGATATGGACCAGGCTTGCCATCCAGCACCGGGACAACAATCGTGCTCACCGGAAACGGACGATCGTTATCGTGCTTTACACTTAGCCTATCTGTTGCTCAGTGTGGTCGAGGTGCCAAATTTAGCACAAGAAGACTACAATCTCGGTACGTGATTATGTCGATTATGTCGTCAATGGTAACGGAACTATGGTTCACCTTGAGGAGTGAGGAGTGTGCGCTCAGTCGAATTTCGTTATTTTCTCTCATTGGTTTGTAGTTCATCCAAACGGATACTGAATGTGCTAGTTTTTGTTCCTTTGTTGGAGATATTGCAGACGGTTATGAGTCGTCCCTCACGATTGATATGTCTTATGTTGGTTTTTCTTGGACGCGAGCACAGTACGCTTGTCCCCCAATAGTCATATTGTGTACAGGAGGAACTATAAACTCGGGAGCTTCTTTCCAACCTTGTAGCGGTTCCATCACTCTTGTTGGTCTTTCGAGACCGCGGTAGGGTGGG